TACTTTATGTTAAAGGTTCATTTATACCATTTATGTATGAAAAATAATATCGCTCTAATGTTCACCACGACTGGATTTACAGACGTCCACGCGATGGTCGAAATTTTCAATGACATTTTGCAACATGGTCGGTTCTATGGCATTTATCTCGGCAATGATGTTGTTTTTGAGTTCTTGGAGGGTGGCTGGTTTGTTGACGTAGACTTTGCTTTTCAAATATCCCCATAAAAAGAAGTCCAAGGGAGTCAAATCGCACGATCTTGGTGGCCATGGCACATTTCCTCTGCGCGAAATCACGCGATCACCGAAGAAGGACTGCAATCGATGGATATTGACGTTGGTTGTGTGGCATGTTGCACCGTCTTGTTGGAAATAAACATCGTCCATATCCATTCCTTCAAGTTGCGGCAAAGAATAGTCCTCTATCATTACGTGATATCGCTCAGAATTGACGGTAACCGCGTCCCCGGCCACATTTTCGAAAAAGTAAGGTCCGATGATGCCTTTTGACCACAATGCACACCACACAGTCACTTTTTGAGGATGCATCGGCTGCTCTTGATACTCACGGGAATTTTCGTTCGCCCAGATGCGGCAGTTTTGCTTGTTTACCGTCCGATTCAAAGTGAAATGCGCTTCGTCGCTGAACATGATTTTTGATGAAAAAATGGCATCAATTTGGCGGTGTTCAAGGAGCCAATCTGAAAACGTTCGGCGCGAAAAATGGTCGGCCCGACGCAGCTCTTGCGTCAATTGGATCTTGTAGGCGTATACATTCAAATCCTTGTGGAGAATCCGGAGCAAACTGGTTCTCGAAATGCCCAATTCTTGGGATCGACGCGTTGTTGATTGTTTCAGATCGTCTCTCACACTCTCCTTCACAACAGCAATATTTTCCGGTGTGCGAACGCTCCTTGGCCGGCCAGAGCCTGGCAGATTTGCCACAGAACCTGTTGCCTCGAATTTACGTACCAGACGACCGATGGTTGTTTCGTTTGGGCGGTTGTTCACGAAGCGCGCGAAACGTGTTTTTTATTTTTGCACCATTTTTGTAGTACTCTTGAATAACTTTAATGCGGTCTTCAATCGAATACGACTCCATAGCGATCAATGGTAAACATTCAACTAACAAAATGACATGTCGGTGACAGAAAACAAAGATGGCGTCTATGTCAAATTGACGTTTACTTTCCTGCGTCCCTATTGGACAACCCATTAGTTGGGGTGGCATTTCTCGTAATTATTGATTTTTTCTCTAGCGAGTAAAATTTAACCTACCATACCAGTATGGTAAAATTTGTATCTTGTTAACTAAATCGTACCGGTACAATTTAGCACACTCGTGTATTATTTTTCAGTCATGCCTCGAAGAGATCAAAATATGGAAAATGGAACGAGGAAAACATGAAATCAGCAATAAAGCTATACGAAACGGGAACATTTGGAGTTAATGCCTAAACAAATATTCTCTGTTAGTCGTAAGGATAATTTCCTGTTTTATTAATGTGTTCAAAATCGAGGTTCCTTTGCTTGAGATGAATAAATGAAAATTTTCATTTGTACGTATGTATATTATGAATTATCTTATTAGACTAAGGTTTTATTTCACCTCTGTTCCTTATTTGTGATCTCTGTACTGTAAGTTGGATAATTAAAAGGTTTAAATTATCACGATTTACTCACCTGTTCCACTAACAATGAAAATGGTATGGTAATTTAAAAACACATTGCAAGGCTTTCAAGTTTAAAAATGATACTCCTGGATTATGTTGTATCAGTGGAAATATCAAATTGACTCCACCAGAGCCACTACATTCATTGGTTTACAGAACTGGGCCAGATTCTATACATTTTTTTATCTCATTTCCAGCAATACAATAATTGATTCCAAATGACGTCATTTGGCGCAAAAAAATTCATTCCACATAATTGTATGCCTACTTTGTAGGTAAGTTGATGGGGGAATGACAGTGCTGCCAACGTATTTTGCTACCTACATGGCGGAACAAACACTTCGCTATACAATTACCTATATTCGACTACTGCACTACTACATCTCGCAGATAAGATACTTCAAAATCCGGCACGCTGTTGGTCATGCTTGATTTTTCCAAGGCTTTCGATATCAATCATGAGATTCTTTGAATTTCTTCAGATCGTACCCAAATAGTGAAAACGTCTAGAGGAACTTCTGATGCACGGTATCTGTCATCAGGAGGTCCACAGGGTTCAGTACCGGGACCTCTTTTATTCCTAGCATACACGTTCGATCTGCATGAGTGTGTAGAACATTGTTGCATTCAAATGTATGCTGATGATACACAACTAACATTTCGTTTCAATGCATCCAACTTCCATCAAGCATCGTATAAAATTAACCTAGATCTTGATAACGTATTAACGTATTGTAACAGACACTGTCTCCGCATCAATCCATTCAACAACATTCAAATTACAATATTAGAAATCGAGTCTCCTTATTTATTAATATTCCATTTTTTGATAATGCTAAGAATCTAGCTGTTATATTTGATTCAAAGCTTAGATTTAATTTACATACGAATAGTATTATGAAGTCGAGTTATATGAAGATGAAGCTTTTATATTCTAGTCGCCATATTCTAAACTTTAAGTGCCGTAAAAAGTTGTGTGAAAGCCTCATATTATCAATTTTCGGAACAACTGTTGCAGATTCATATTTGGTCTTAGGAAAAATCAAGGAGTTACCGTGGCTCAGAGTTGATGGCTTATACAACTATTCCATGGCTTCATTGGTGCATATAATTTATAAAACTGGTAAACCCGTCTATTTACTAGGTAAGTTGATTGTTCGTGGAAACCAAATTGTTCTAAATCTGCGGCACAATGATCTAATGGGTGATTTTTTTGCCAGTATCTTTTTGGCAACACTGTTTTTGACAGATGACGCGTGAATCGTGTCTTGTGTCATTGTCAAACTTGTTTAGTTTGGTCTATAATTTAACCATGAATCGACTTACGAACGAACAATGCTTGCAAATTATTGAATTTTACTATCAAAATTCATGCTCGGTTAAGAGAGTGCATCGAGCACTGCTTCCAATTTATGGGCAATTTGGTCGGCCTACTGAGGGAGCTATTCGGAAGCTTGTGACTAAATTTCGAACCCAGTTTACATTATTGGACATTAAACCACCAATACGCAGACGTAGAGTGAGGACTGAAGAAAATATTGCGGCTGTATCCGCCAGTGTTAGTGATGACCGTGAAATGTCGATTCGCCGCCGTTCGCAGCAATTGGGCCTCTGTCACTCCACTACGTGGAAAATTTTGCGACAGGATTTGGGTGTAAAACCTTATAAGATACGGCTGGTGCAAGAATTGAAGCCACATGACCTCCCACAACGTTTCCAATTTGGTGAATGGGCGCTGGCAAAGTTGGAGGAAGATCCACATTTTTATCGAAAAATTGTGTTCAGCGACGAAGCTCATTTCTGGTTGAATGGGTACGTTAACAAGCAAAATTGCCGCATCTGGAGTGAAGACTAGCCAGAATCATTGCCAGAGCTACCAATGCATCCCGAAAAAATCACTGTTTGGTGTGGATTATGGGCCGGTGGCATCATCGGGCCGTACTTCTTCAAAGACGACAATGGCCGGAACGTAACTGTGAATGGCGAGCGCTACCGTGCGATGAAAACAAACTTTTTTATGCCCAAAATGGAAGAGCAGGATTTGGCTGACATGTGGTTTCAACAAGACGGTGCCACATGCCACACCGCACACGAAACAGTGGCCCTATTGAGAGGCGAGTTCGGTGAACAGTTTATCTCACGTTTGGGGCCCGTCAATTGGCCGCCTAGATCGTGTGATTTAACGCCGTTGGACTATTTCTTGTGGGGCCATGTTAAGGCTAATGTCTACAGGGATAAACCAGCAACGATTGACGCATCATTTTCTGAATAAAGACATTATTATTATTATTATTATTATTATTATTATTATTATTATTATTATTATATTCCATATATTTACCCGTTTATTAATCATTATTCATCCCAGTTCACAGCTAAGACAGGACAACATCTGTCGGGTCAGCTAGTACATCAATAAGTATCACATTCCATGGGTAATACTGATCTATTAAATACTCATGGCGAATTTCCTGTTTTACCAGAAAGTGACACAGATTTAGATTTATACCTAGTGAATATTGCGCTAAAGTTACTATTACAAATTCTTTAGTAAAATTGATGAGTATTTCGTATATACTTTCGTTCATAGATCATGACAATGCTGACCTATTTCTATTCGATTTCCTTTATTATATGCTAAGCTGTTAATATCACATCATTAACCTACTAAAGAGTACGCGACTATTCAGAATCTCCTGTACGCGTTATCTGCTCTTCAACCACCTCATTAAATAATACGTGTTCGCAAAGATGCATTGATGCCAGAATATTGAACTACAGCCAATAAATATCCTTGGATAGATGATGCGCTGGATGTATTTAAAAGAGCCTTAAGCTTAGTAATCGCATTTCTTTCACCGGCTAAGCTCTCAAGATTATGTCGTGTCATAAAAATAGTCCAGGCTGATCAATACAAAACTCACGTAACCGATGTAACAATGGAACTTATCTTGGAGTTTTCAAGCATGTGTGGTTTCATTTAGGGAAAATTACATTTTTTATTTTATTCTTCTTTTTTAACGTGTTCAGTGTTGTAATTTATGAAGCCTTTGTTTAGTTCTAGAAACTCACATGTACCTGAAGTTGGCGTTTAAAGTCGTATTTTTAATAAGTTGACCAAGATTTTGTAACTTGAAAGGGATTTTTTCATTCTCGTTGCTTACGAGAGGGGGAAATGTATCTTCTACTTACAGGAATGATTGAGAGGTAGCATTTATTTCCTTTGATCTTTTTGTATAAGAAGCATTCTTCAAGCGGCAAAGTACTTTGCGATCTCAGTAACAGATAGAACCCATTTTTTCGTTAATTTACAAAATATAAACTCACCAACAAACGTTTTTGATGCCTTCGTCAGCTGCCTCTCGCTTCTTTTTCATTAGATTGATGATATCTGGTTCTGCCGGACTGATCTCGGATGCTGGTGTTTTCGATTGGATCTCGTGCATCGCTGTCGTGTACCGTTTGAAGCAGATGGCGTTCTGTTTTTCCACTTTCTGCATACAGGGAGCATGTTTCAGGTATTCTGAAAAGAAACCGAAGCTATAACTTAGAATATTATAATCTCATGGAAAATGAGGTAGCAGGTGAATTTTGATGGTTGTCTATAGTTTTAATTTATCGACTACCAAAATATATGAACCTATCGATTTACATTCGGATGCGGATCTCCTTGGAAATTTTTCCATGTTGCCTGTCCTTCAATGGAGGTTACTAAAACTTCGCATAAGTAGTTATCGTATTCATAATAAATTCATAAATTTGTCATTGTGGGTTTTCGTGTTGACGGGGCAACTTGTCATTCGAATTTTATTTATTTTTCTCCGCATTGAATTTTTGAGTGACTTTGAAATCAATACTGACTACATAATATGCCTTTTATAAGTTATATGCAAATTATGAGTATATTATTTTTCATCGGTCCCAAATTAGTCAAAATTTCAATTTTCCATGCAATGCATATACTTTTGTGCAACATAATGTGTTTGAATTTTTCTCTTCATACCTCCTGATACCTCAGAACTGTACATACCGATACTTTTGTAACAGGATCATCGTCCGAGAGTCCCGGACCTCTCAATGTCGTGCCTTGAATATATAGTTCGGATCTCCAGTCCAATACTTCAATTTCTGGACCGGTCCGAGACCCCTCGAATTTCAAATTCTGTTACCTTTTACTTGTCTTCCTATAGGAGGTAGACTCGCGTAGAACCTGACATAAAGTAATATAATCTTGACTCATTGAAACACTCACTTTACGCGGAATGATGCTTCCTCTGTTCTCCAAGTAATCAGAGAATGTGGTAAACGCCCGAATGAATACTTTCGGAATCCTCGAACTCAGTTTCAGTAAATGAAATTAATGGAACTGAAGTTAAAGGAGACTCATTTTTATTAATAATTGAATTACACACTCAAAACATCTATACACTCGTGAAGAGTGAAGTAGCAAATGACAACGAACAGTTAACTTCGTAAAACTAATAGGCTGGGGAAAAGATCACTGGAGGAGTGAATTACGACTAAGTTAAAAGGAACGGTGACAACTAATTTAAAATAAATTTAAGTTTGAACCTAAGCGGTGGCCGCAGTAGTAGACTCTTCGGTCTCCTGATCAGTCGCCGTGCGCTGTGCGGGTTCGAGTCCCGTTCCAGGAGAAATTTTTCTCTTGGCTATGGATGTTGTGATTGTCCGTAGGTGGTAGATGGTCTCTGACTGTCGAACGTGGAGGTACCACCCGGCGGATCTCGTAGGCGGAGCCAGAATGTGTGCATGTTGCATGCACACGTGTTCCCTCGCCAGAGTCCGTGTGGCGTTCCCCCTTTCCCCTGTATCCCCCTATAGCCCCACGGTACCCAATGGGTGTTTAGGCCTTAGGCCTTCGTGGTAGTTGGAATATAAAAAAAAAATAAAAAATTATTCTGATTCTGTAAAGATGGAAACCAACTTGACCAATGATTGTTAGACTTAATTTTTGAACTCAAAACGTCCTTAAACTCTATTGGTTAATTACGTTCCCTTGTCCCACCTCAAGGAGTGTCGTCAGCGTACAGTCTTCCTTTAAATTTACGCAACACGCCCCCTGCAGTTTTCAATAATTTCAATGGATTGGGAATTCCTGTAATGCTGATGCCACAATTCGAGATGCCCTCTTAAATAATTATAAAATTATACATAGCATTTAGGTAAAACTAACGGTGACTCTCTTCTGGATTTTTTTTATATATTTTTAACAAAATTAGCTTCATTGGAACTACGCAGTGTTTCGTTAGTTTCACCTGCTCGTCTCTAATGATAATTTCCAAACCGCATCTGTCAACGCGTACGTTGACAGAAGGTATGTTAGAATCGCATTCAGCCTGGCGCACCTGCTCCTATCAGCTAGGGGAAAATTCTACTAAAAACCTAGCTGTTTGTCTCCTCTTTTTCATATTTTCCCACAATTATGATAATTTTTAGTAATATGCTAGCCTTCGGAAGTCTTAGATATCCCATGATACGCCTCTGACGCGTGACCGTTCAGCGCTCGGGGTAGTTTCTAATATCTGCTAACCAAATGGTTGAGATTCAAATTTCTCAGCACACAACTTTGGTTGTGACTTTGTAGTTATAGCGAACAAATGTCATTACAGAATATATCTCCAAACCCTGTTTTTGTCCCGGCATATTTGAAAAGTCCAACTTTATAGCATCCGGTTCTATTATCAATTTCCTTCGTAATATGAATTAGGTTTCCCTTGGCGTTCACTGGGTAGTTTGCAGATGCGAGTGTTTGTTATGCCCTTAGTTTTTATGTTTATTTCTATTTTATGGATGCGACGAATCTTTACAAGGGTAGGCGGCATGATGAATTATTTCAACGAATTTAGAAATTGATAACTTGGTCGGCTACACTTTTTCATAAATTCGCCACTGAAAGTACTCAAAATTGAAATCTTCGTACTGTCAAATCCGACACCGCCGCGTCGAATACCGATTCTATGCTACGCCACTGGCCCGTGCTTCGAAGTGTGACCTTGCAGATCGTATGTCCCCCAAAGTCGGCCATTATTAGGTTAGCCCTCGACATGTGAGCAACGGCTTGTTTTTGATTTTATGAATAGACCAAGAAGTCTATATTTTTTAGTAGTCGCTGCTTTAAATATATGTAGTTGATAACTGTTCTATATGTACGACTGCTACTTTCTTACCACGGTATCGATATCGCGAAGCAATTTGCCAGATGAGGTTTTCTCTAGATCTACTTCTCTTATGCGGTTAAAAAATCCGAACCATATCCCAGAATACGAGGGTAATCTTGTTGGACGCATGAACACACACCAATGTGACAAATTCCTATAAAATACTGTTTACTGCGATACGCCACTGGAAATCCGTTTTTCTTGAACAATCTTTGAGCAACACTGCATAATTCGAAGAAATTTTAACAGTACAGTAAACAGTTAGAGCACGAAGGTGGTCATGGAAAACATAACTCATTTAGATTACCAGGGATGGACTATCCCTAAAGTAATACTGCTGAACTTTAATACCTCCTATATTAATAACGAAAACATGGTATTTTTGGAAAGCTCACTACTATGGTTATTATCCCTGCTCGACCTTGAAAGCGAAAGAAAATAGCCTTCTTTCCATAGTATATCTATTACATGAAGTGCTATAATCAAATTTACTTATTTATCAATCGTTTTAAGATATTTATAGATAAATTTATAAATATAAGGTTTAGTTGTCAAACTGCAGCTATGATACAATTCCAAACGACAGTATTACTTATGCAGGTGCTTTTGCCTTCATTATTTACATAGGGAGATAAATTCTACCTCGGGTTAGTAGTGAAAAAAGAATGTCTGTCAGCATGTAACCTGCAAGTAGGTTTTGAACGCTTACACTGTTCCCGCTTCATGCACTATTCATCTATTTCCATTTGGGTTACCTGTTTCCCAAATGAAAACTACTGAATAAATAAAAAGGCAGTGTAATTCAAGCTGCCATGATCGATGTATCAATCTCCATCCCTTTAAAATCGGATACGGACTGTTTTTTTAATAGAAAAATGGACCGAATATAACTAATGTTGACATATTACTTTTACTGATTCAATTATTTGATGTTGTTTGAAAATTTAATAGAGTGTGTGTGAAACATCTCCAATGAAGGCGCGTACGCCAAAGCTGACTGAGAAAGATACAAAATTCCAGATAAAAGAGTGTTGGCCACAGGATTTGGAAAAATAATTTATTTTTAGTTATTAGCAAATGCTTTTGGTATTACGCTACTGGAATACAGACCAGTAACTTTTATTTGTTCATTAAGCTGTTTAAGTAGATAGTAAAATTTATAAATTCGTCTTAAATTACATAATACCAAAGTCAATATTTTCTTTATGCAACAGTATGACAAAAAAGTCCCATTCTAAAGAAAGGGATAAATGTAACCCTTCTTGAAAATTCGATAACACTGGTCAACACTGGTTTTGCCATACGAACTTTGACAGCTAATTTTGTTTTATCAGTCTACCCTCATTATTACATGACAGCTGTCATATGTCTATTAGCCTCATATTTGTTGTGATACGGTAATACTCATAACTAGTACTACGGCAGTAAATTAACAGAAACGCTTACAAGTAAATCCTTATAAAAATATTTGTTGTTGAATTTTAACACTTTTTTGTGATTTATTAACCCTGTGAATATGTCGAGGAAGTGTAATAATGATCCTAACTCTTTTTGTTATGTCTGCGGAGAACTAACATTCAAAAAACAACGACGAAATTTTACGAATCTTGCGTTTTGGTTTTTCTGTCGCCCATCAAGACAAATCCTGGGCCCCGCATGTCTGTTGCATAACGTGTGTGAAAAATTTAACTGACTGGAAGAAAGGTGCACGACCTATGCCGTTTGCTGTGCCCATGATATGGACTGAACGCGAGATCACGTTTCAGATTGCTATTTTTGTCTCACAGACATAAAAGGTATAAATTACAAGAAAGAAACCACAGTTATTTACCCTAACTTATCTTCGGCTATAAGACCAGTCTCTCATTGTAAAAAATTGCCAGAACTAATACCAGTTGCAACTACGATTGTTGAGAACAATTCACAACCGTCCACTTCAGGTGAATGTGTTGACGAGGACGATGACTTTGAGTTAAAAGGAATTGTAAACGAGCCACATTTGATAACTCAAGGAGACCTAAATGATTTGGTTCGGGATTTAAATTTGTCAAAAAAGCAGTCAGAACTATTAGGATCACGTCTAAAAGAATGAAATTTGCTACATCATAATACAAAAGTTAGCTATTTTCGAAACCGTGATCAACACTTCAGAACGTATTTTTCTCAGGATGGAGATTTGGTGTTTTGCAATAACATAAATGAGATTATGAAAATGTTGGACATAGATTTTGATCTCTCTCAGTGGCGTTTATTCATTGATTCTTCGAAAGCAAGTCTAAAAGCAGTGTTATTGCATAATGGAAATAAGCTTCCGTCTGTACCTCTGGCCCATGCTGCAAATATGAAAGAAACCTATGAAAATATGAAACTTTTACTTGAAAAAATATATTACAATACATATTCCTTCAAAATCTGCGGTGATCTTAAAGTTGTTGCACTATTACTTGGACTTCAGCTGGGTTATACAAAGTTTTGCTGCTTTTTATGTGAATGGGATAGCCGAGACAGAACTAATCACTATATAAAAAAAACATGGCCTACGCGTGCATCGTTAGTTCCTGGGCAAAAAAACGTAAAGTATTTACCCCTTGTACAGCCAAATAATGTGCTTCTACCACCATTGCATATAAAACTAGGATTAATAAAAAATTTTGTGAAGGCAATGGATCGCAATGGGAGTGGATTTTTGTATCTAAAAGAAAAATTCCCTAAAATAAGTGATCCAAAGATAAAAGAGGGTATTTTTGTTGGCCCTCAAATTAGGGAGTTAATAAAAGATTCAAGATTTGAAGAAAAATTAAGCGATTTAGAAACATCTGCATGGAAGGCATTTAAAAATGTTGTTTCAAATTTTTTGGGTAACCACAAGAGTGACAGCTACAGAGAATTGGTTAGCGAGCTATTATTGTCATATCAAGCATTGGGTTGCAACATGTCACTTAAGATCCCTTTTTTAGACTCGCACCTGGATTTTTTTCCTGACAATTTAGGGGCTGTCAGCGACGAGCACGGTGAGAGGTTCCATCAGGACATTTCTAATATGGAAAAGCGGTACCAAGGCAAATGGAGCCCAAATATGTTAGCAGATTACTGCTGGACAATTAAAAGGGACCAACCAGAAGCTAAATATTCAAGAAAATCTTAGATTATTAAGTCATTTATAAAAAAAATAACTTTTGATTTACGAGATCTGTTTTTTCTTAATATTTTAAATTACTCAATAGAATAAAATCCTTGTCTAGCAAATTTTTTTTAACTGTTTATTTTTTCTTACAATCACCAATTAAAGTAAAAAATATCAAAAAAGTCCGAGTGGCACGATAAAGTTAAAATTTTGTTGACCAGTGTAATCTGAGTTATAGCCAACTTTCGAAAAATTTGAGAAATTGCTTTTTTCAGGATAGTCCAAAGATCAAAAAGATGAATAGAAAAATTTCCAAGAACAAAAATTGTGAATCTGACATAGCCCTAAACTTTGCTAAAAAACCTGACTTCCTTTGATCACTCTCTAGAAGTGGATAAATGAAAGGAATGTACTGATCGAACCCTGTACGTGTTGTCAAAGAATTGGTCAAGAACCTCCCGAACACCGCAGCTCGATATCTCTTTCCTTTCAGAAAATATCGAGATTTGAATTTCCGAAAAACTGTCCACAAGTAAATAACTCAACTGAGTAAAAATGATTATCTAAAAAAATCTTTTAAACTGGTTGATGAAAACCACATGTGACTCTATAGATTTCCATGACAATGACAACATGTTGAACAGTTTAACAGCCATTATAACGGGTGATCTTTTAAGAGGTACACATATGATTTGATTTTCAAAAAAAAAAAACACAAAAAATTTGAAAAACGATTAAATCTTTATTTGAGTCGATAGAACGGTCGATATAATTTAATGTTTAAATATTATTTCATGTAAATGTTGGCCGCGGCTCCGCTTTAGATGGCCCATGCACAAGGTCCAATTTTGGCACACTCTCTCCAACATATCGGCCGGTATCTCACGAATAAATGCTTCAATATTGGCTTCCAGTGCGTCAATCGTTGCTGGTTTATCCCTGTAGACATTAGCCTTAACATGGCCCCACAAGAAATAGTCCAACGGCGTTAAATCACACGATCTAGGCGGCCAATTGACGGGCCCCAAACGTGAGATAAACTGTTCACCGAACTCGCCTCCCAATAGGGCCATTGTTTCGTGTGCGGTGTAGCATGTGGCACCGTCTTGTTGAAACCGCATGTCAGCCAAGTCCAGCTCTTGGGAAAAAAAAGTTTGTTATCATCGCACGGTAGCGCTCGCCATTCACAGTTACGTTCCGGCCATTGTCGTCTTTGAAGAAGTACGGCCCGATGATGCCACCGGCCCATAATCCACACCAAACAGTGATTTTTTCAGGATGCATTGGTAGCTCTTGCAATGCTTCTGGCTGGTCTTCACTCCAGATGCGGCAATTTTGCTTGTTAACGTACCTATTCAACCAGAAATGAGCTTCGTCGCAGAACACAATTTTTCGATAAACATGTGGATCTTCCTCCAACTTTGCCAGCGCCCATGCACCAAATGGGAAACGTTGTGGGAGGTCGTGTTTTACACCCAAATCCTGTCGCAAAATTTTCCACGTAGTGGAGTAACAAAGGCCCAATTGCTGCGAACGGCGGCGATTCGACATTTCACGGTCATCACTAACACTGGCGGATACAGCCGCGATATTTTCTTCAGTCCTCACTCTACGTCTGCGTGTTGGTGGTTTAATGTCCAATAATGTAAACTGGGTTCGAAATTTAGTCACAAGCTTCCGAATAGCTCCCTCAGTAGGCCAACCAAATTGCCCATAAATTGGAAGCAGTGCTCGATGCACTCTCTTAACCGAGCATGAATTTTGATAGTAAAATTCAATAATTTGCAAGCGTTGTTCGTTCGTAAGTCGATTCATGGTTAAATTATAGACCAAACTGAACAAGTTTGACAATGACACAAGACACGATTCACGCGTCATCTGTCAAAAACAGTGTTGCCAAAAAGATACTAGCAAAAAAATCACCCATTATAAATAGTCATCCACGTAAGACTTGATCTGTATTGAGACAGAGCAAGGTTGAAGGTTGCTCCTAATGCATAACAAAATTGTGAGCTACCAAGAGTAGGAAATACAAATGCGTTCTTTTTACATAGATCAGAGACGTGACAATGTAGATAAAATGAACAGTCATAATATCATTTGGGGAATTAAAAGGAATTGTGGATGACCAAAATCGAAACTATGGAATCTAATCACTAAGCGATTGGGCCGAGCTTTACGTCACAGTCATCAAAGGAGCGGTCGCAATGGTCTTAATGTACAAAAATCGACAGAGTTTGAAAATGAGAAACAGATACTCGTATTAACATACCTTCTTGATGTGTTCCATTTCTGCAAAGTTCGTGAACAGTATATGCAGTGCCGTGGAACAGTTTCCTGAAATGCTTCCTGTGCTCGTTCTTCATGCAGTGTCTCGTGAATCCGTGGATGCATTTGATAGCTTCTTTCAAATCGCTGTAACAAAAGAAACATATTTTGAGTAATTTGAAGTATGTTTAACCAATAGATAATGTCCTAGAATCATCACATTCCTGAATATTTTCAAGGATTGCTTCAATAGCACCAAACGTCCTAAATTCGGGACACGTTATTTTACGCTCGTATTACAAGGAACGTGAAGAACCAATATATGGAACATTCCCTTCACAGTTGGTTATATATAAGTCAACGCCAAACAAAGTGGCGTGCACGTCATCAAGGTGGGTGTGTTGAAAAATTTACATTGTTGCCAAACTTTTTGTAAAATAATAAAATTTATTATTTACATATCTAGGTTTATAAGCAATATTAACCTCAAATGAGAACAAAAATAATAGTATAATAAAATTATAGATCTGTACTTGCATAATCATTAAGTATGACAATTATTGATCAGATGACACTATGAAACTACCATATTTAATTGATAGCTTAAAGGTACTGAATAAAAATCCAAATGGGGTCCTCCAAATTTTATGCATGGTATTTATTTTACAGAATTCATACAGAAAAATGCATTCTAAAATTAGGTAAGCTACTGGTGTAAGCTTTTTCTGTACAATAAAGTTAGTCGGAGTTTCTTTCTTCAGCGCTGTCTGAATCTGAATCTTCATCACTCTCAAAGTTGATTATTAAAGGTTCGATGTCTGGTCGATCAAAAATTCGTTCTCTTTCATTTAAAAATTTCTTGCTCAGTATGTCGAACACTATTTTTCCACATGTCTGGGGTAACCGTTTGTAGAGCCTCGTTCCACATATCCAAACAGTCTTTTTCACTGTTACCATCTCTACCAATATGTCTGTTATAGTAACCTTTTGCCCCAAATTAACTCAATAGGGTTAAATATACAATGGTAAGGAGGCAGACGAAGAACTTTGTGCCCATGTTGTTCCGCCAATTCATCAATCACGTATATTTTAGGTGGTTTGTTTCTAAAAAAGCAGTTATTTTAAGAATAGGAATAAACAAAAGAAATATAAACTGTCGACCAAAATATATATAATTAAGAAGCATTATGTACCGAGCAACAATACTCAATAGCTCTGTTTTAAACATTGTGTTTAAAAATGGTATGTTTTGATTTGTCAACCAGTCTTGGATATTTTTTTTTGTCCATGCATTGTTGGGCACTTTGTTCAATATCATGCTGTGATAAGGGGCGTTATCCAGTATAATCATAGATGGACTCTCCAATTTTTCTAATAACTGATGTTGAAACCATTTCAAAAAATTGTCCTGGTTCATCTCTCCATGGTAATTGCTCAATTTTGTTTTCGAAGAAAATATCGCTTCACTACCCTCAATAAAGCCATTTTCATTTCCAGCATGTAATATAATGTATCTAAAATATATTAGTTTTAAATTTTATAGTGCAAATTGTGTAAAAGTACATACCTTTTACCATCTGTTTTAATAGCTTTCACGCTTTTTTGGTTTCCATTTTGCCAAGAGCGACCTATGGTCCCATTTTGAAATATCCAAGTTTCATCGAGGAAGACAAACTGGTATAAGGCCTCAACCTTGGCTTGATTGTATTGCCTTAGAAATTCCACCCTTTTCAAAGCTATACTTGGTAGTTCCATGAGCCCTCGTCGCGGATTGTCCTTAAGCCACTTAAATCCAAGATCTCTAAGCAACCGCCTTAAAGACGTGGCACTACCATCAAATAATGCCCTATCTCTTAATCGAGACCATAAAGTTTGTATCGTAACTTGTTCTTCTGAAACCATGTGTAATATGACATTATAATTTAGTTAACAAATTAATGCAAATTTCTGATAAGTTATTATAATAAGATCTTACTTTTGTGATACATATTATAGATCACTTCTCGAATGGCACTTGTATCCAATGTCGCTGTGTTGGTTACACGTTTAATATAACTCCGCTATTTCTTGGGCGATTCTAAATTTGCATCACTTTTCACACCCTCGGAAATACGACTAACTATCCTTAAACTAATTTTTAAAGCAGCAGCAACACGCTACAAAAAATGAAATAAAATTTCACTATTATTAATATACATTACATATAATTATTAGTAACCTACCTCTTGAACAGCATTTAAAGGCAACAACGGCCCGTTGTTGTCCCTTTCTTGCTCAAAGTAGTGCATTAACGAGGCCACGAGTTCCTTACACCGACTATTTAACTGTTTGGGCATCTTTTTATACCAAAATTGCCTTTATCTACTCGTAAAATGAATAATTTTGTTTTGAAACAAACAGTTGTTGATTTACAGTATGCGGGGCCAAAGGATTTATAAAGATTTGAAATGACACAAATTGATTCAGTGTCAAAATTAACACAAATGTCAGTTCCCAGTTTAAATAAGTTTCAAGGTGACAATGTGTCAACGCTGCGAAATCGGTTTAGTGCGTTTACATGTCGATAAGTGATTGGAGCGTTTGCAAAACACTTTATTTCGCATAATGCGTCTAAATTTATCAGAAAGCAACTTATGTGATATTTTAATAACAATGTTTATATGACTATTAACCATAATAAGAGAGTAATGACCATTTTACAATTTATATATCACATTAATATGAAACTGCAATAGAGCAATTGTTTGTGATAGAAACCTAGGCATTAGGTCGGGAAATTTTTATCGTGATGACGTGCACGCCACTTTGTTTGGCGTTGACTATAGATAATGTCCTCGAACCATCACACTCCTGAATGTTTCCAAGGATTGCTTCAATAGCACCAAGCGTGCTAAATTCGGGACACGTTATTTTGCGCTCGTATTACAAGGAACGTGAAGAACCAATATATGGAACATTCCCTTCACAGTTGGTTATATAGCACTGTTTTTCATTTAGAAAAGTATTTTCTGTAATAAAGCCCCCATAAAAGCCGATTGAAGCTTGGACATATAATAATATCGATTCCTGTCGTCGAATGACATCCCACTAAAAAAGGTGCATGAACGACAAATTAAAATGGTGAATGTACGGTCTAAATCATCAATTCATATCCCTGTAGGTGTAGGCTGTAGGTGATCCAATATGTTTAACTTCTGGCGAATGTGCGATAAAATTCACATGTACCTGGTGCGATCAAAAAATACGGCGAATGAATGCAAATCACGAACTGCTACTACTATTCGTCATTATTCGTCAGAGCGATCTGTTAGTCTATCAGGTCTGGCTACCCAGATACCAAACATGTTTAAGAGGTCTGCCGTGTCGCTGCACCGGAAGTACAGTAGAGTTTGGTAAACGAAACTTGTCCACTCCGATTGAGCAGCATCAATTCCGTTCTCATCATGTATGACCGGAATGCTAGGAGACTCTTTGAGAAATGACTTGTATAGTTCCCAATCAACTCTTTTCCTTGGAGGAGAGTCCTCCTCCACGAAATGCCCCTCCAGTTAAACAGGTAGATGGTCATACAAGATCCTAGAAGCAATACTGAACCTACAGTTTTTAGATATTGCAAAGTCTATAACATCCGGTGCCTGAAGGTGATTGAAAGGATGGTGTGTCGGCTCTTCGGTGCTGTAAATAAGATACCCGTTTCGCATCACATAGTTGTAAAGCTGAACCCCACAAGTCGAGTTAAGCCTTGAGTGCCATGATCGGTGTTTGCAGTTGTAGTCCCCTGCCGCAATAAGAGGGCCCGAACAGTCCAGAAGGACTTCCAAGTCCTCCTCTCGCAGCCTGGCACCGCACGTGACATACACCGAGCTGATCTTCAACGGAATGCATCCCGCCATATTGACTACCACGGACGTCGCTTCAATGCTTTGCATCTCGGCGTTTGTGCTTCTGTGATTGTCAATACCACGTTTAACGAGCACTGCCAAGCCACCACCAGTACCATTCAATCTGTCAGCGCGTATAACTCCATAATTCGAAAGCGATCTCCCGGATTAAGTAATGTTTTCTGCAGCAGAGCTACGTCTATACTCTCATCCCAGACAATTCCAAAAAAGAATTCTGATAAACGCAGGTTATCTATTGTACTTAGCCATTCAATGGCTGCGGAAAGATCGCCTGCAATGCCTGAGTGGCGCTAATCAGGGGACTTATTATTTGTTGAATGGACCTAAGCGCAGTTGCTAGGTCCACATTCTGCGTGTTCAAAGTGGGTTGAACAGGGGGGGCAGCCGAAGATGTTGAGACGGCTGCTTCCGCGTATGACTTGCTGCGTCTTTGCGCTATGACTTCCAGATTTCGCCTGGGGGTGAATCTGCAAGTGGGACTGTTAGCGGGATGCGCCCCTCCACAGTTCGCACACTTTCGCTCCTCTTGCCCTGTGAGGGGGCACAAATGTGTCATGTGGTCATCAGGAACTGCTGTCTGTGGTAAATTTTAACAATTTATGGCTTGTCTATTAGCTTTCTGTGCTGAAAGAGTGAGGTCGTTTATGATATATTTGTCAGGCATCCTGGATTTGTAACAATGTATTAACGTACAATTTTGTTGCAAAGAATGCCAAAGCTCATGAAATATTGAAACCAGTATACGGGAATGATGTGGTGACTCTTGAATACCAGCTAAACGTGCAAAAACAGGCAATTTATTATTTGAGAGCTTCTCGAAGAAATGGGTCCGTACAAAGGATTTTATCCAATACTTTTTAAATTGGACGAGTCAGTGCGAAATTTGTTTCCATTGAGTGGCGAGCAGAAGGAAGCTCGGATGTCAGTTTCCTTGGAATCAAAGGGTCGACTTCATGACCAAAATTATAACTGGAGATTAAAGCTGGGTGTAAGATTATGACCATGAAAAAAATGCAAAGTTCCCAAAGTAAAACGCCCTTAGAGGATAACGTCGGTCAAAGTCGAACGCCAAGATCATGCTGATTGTTTTTTAAAGTGAGGGCACAGTGCGATCAGAGTGGTTCGACTGTTAGCTCCGAACATTAAGCCTTATTACAACGTTGGCGAGATGTTATATGGAGAAAGAGGTCCGAAAAATGGGCCAACGATTTCCTTCTCACTACAATGCGCCGTGCCACACAATGCTTTTGATTGGCGAGATTTTGTCAAGAAAATATGACTATCCACATCCGCTGCAGGCTCTAGAACTAGCACCAAGCGATTCATGACATTAACGTTAGAATAAATGCTTCGCTAGCCAAGAACGAGATTAATTCCGTAAAAAAATTATTCACATATTTTTTGATTACACCTCGTATGCCCAAAAATCGGTGAAGGTTCACTCTCTACGGGGTTTATTTACATTTAACCTGTATTTAGGATGATATAATATTTTCCTCCATTTGTTGGTAACTACGTAAGCATACCCTTAGTAGTGATACAAGAATAAGGATTAGGCAAGTTCTATCTATGTCAGATTAGCAATAACAGTTTTAAACGTTGTTGAGCTAGCTGTTCAAATATTTGCGATGTTGCAGTAAAGCGCAGGAAGTTTTTGCAGTGGGCGGATGGTAGAGCGCGAACAGCGTACTTTGTTGAAATTTAGCAAAAATAATAGTCAGCGCTTCGTGCCCTATCAGCTTTGTGAATTCACAACTAATTAAAATGCCGCCTCTCGCTTATGCCGTGTTTGTACGGTCTATTTACAGTATAAAAACGCCGGTGATAATGTTTTGTCCAGAATGGCTACTGCCACACGGACTTGCAGATAATGAGAAATTTCGTATTTGCCTATTCCAGTTTCAATTGTCGCTATTTGAACCTTTGGGGGCATGTAACAGCTATTATTTGGTACTCGTATAAAAAAATACTATGTCATGAAATTTTCATGACACGCTAACGAATGTAACTCCGAATGTAAGCAGATAAGTACGTTTCGTCCATATGATTTGTAACGTACTTCTAATAGTAGAGGACCTACTTCAGTAGATTTTATTAAAAATTTGTGTAACAAATAGTACAAGCTGAATGAAAATTAGATTTTAGGAAGCCCAGAATCAATTTCTTAAATGTAAACCACCAACGCTACTCAGCCAACATCATTAGAAGACCTGCGACAAAGAATTGTGAATGAGTGCCTTCAAATTAGTCCTCAAATATTGCAAAATGTGCGGCAGCGTTTTGAGCAAAATCTTTATTATTGCATGGAGAGTCATGGTGGCCATTTTCAACATTTACTTGCCTAACGGGTCAGTTCATTCTTCATTTTTAAATTACTTTGTTGCCAAATGTATTAATCTCCACTAATGATGATGTATTAGTTTTATTTAATCATAATAATAATAATAAATTGCTTTTATTGCTCATGTAAGTACAGAAAAAGAAAAAGTACATAAATCTGATGCAGTGGGCAAACGGCAAGGTTCGCTCTTCCACCTAACAAAAAAAAAAAATAAAATAAAATATTGTAGTATATCAGTAATAATAATAACAGCAAGAGAAAAGTTAAACGTTAACACCGATACATATAGACATATTATGTTTTAAAACTATATATTATATTATACATCCATAGATGACATATAACCTTGGTAAAACCTATAAAATAAAACGAGTTGATGCTTGAATGAGATTGCTAGAAGTTGTAGCTAATATCTTATGAAGGTAAAATGTCAAAGATCAAACGAAAAAGACATACAGAAGAATAATTGGCAAATCAGCGTGCAGTGTTAAATTTAAGTCATCTCAAGTCTCAACATAGTCTTCACTTCTCGCTTAAATCTCAAAATTGATAGGGCTTTAATTCTATCAGGCAGCGAGTTGTAAACCTCAACTATGTCATATGAAAAAGAGCACTTATAATTTGAAGTTTTAAATTTAGGTAGTGAGAGATGATGTTTAAACCTCGTGTTACGACTATGCACTTCTGTACGGGTCTTGATCTTCTTGTAAAGATAGGATGGTGATTCAGTAGTATCTTGTGGTAAGCTTAAAATCAATAAATCTTCAAAACTACCGAATTGAAGCACATTAATTTTATATCATTCTAAAGGGAATTGAAAGACATTGAAAATAAGGTATCACTCGACCCCCCTTCCCATTTAAGATTTTAGGGTTGGTGTCACCCCCGCCCAGGGGGCTGCACGTGTTAACGTGTTTTTTTGCCAAACTTGTGTCCCTCTCGAAAACAAAATCTACGGGTCTGAGCGTTTTTCCAAAAAAAAAATGAGCTACCAGTAGATGCGTCTGTTTCGTTTTTTATGCGCCACCCTGTATGTATAAAGTTCTGTCTGTCGACATACCCCAGACACCATTATCGGAAAGTCAGTAATTTCCGTTGCCGATGCGACTTCAATCAACCCTTTACATAAATTAGTAATTGGCAGGTCATAAATCTAGGCATCCACACGTATGATTATGCATATGAACTGGTTGGTGCATTCACCATTTTTATCAGCTCATTCACAGATATTGAAAGCATTGCTACCGACCACCTTTAATCGATCAGTTCTCATTATTGACTTTAAATTTCTTTGTTTCTTTGACCACCTGTGATACCTTGGTATTGATATTCGTTGGTCGTAAAAAAGCATGGGCCTGGAAAATCGCTGTAATTTTCCTACAAAAAAAATAAAACAGATTCTTAAACCCAACCATAAGTAAACCCCAACAATTCATTTGCACCAGCAGCTAGCGATTTAGTTCTTGCATGTCCTCGCCGATAATATCGAGATTTAAGCTCAGCCGTAATGTTAAAATAATTATAAGGTTCTTAGGGCGAAGCGATAATTCGGGCCGCTGCGGTCGGTGGAAGGGCGTTTTATCTTCCCAACAGTGTATAAACAAAGTTTTAAAGTAACTGGATGATTAAAAAGGGAGGCGTGTCCAAACCCGAGGGCAAAAACCGATGATTCATCCGCTCTAGCGTGATGGTGGCTACGGTTTTTTGAAATATGTACTGGATGCATTTAATCCCTGTTATTTGGTCTGCGATGGAGAGATATTAAGCAGTGAATTATGGAAAAAATAAATGCATCATGTACTGTAATGGTTGCATTTACAATACGTCAATGTACATCCAGAGAGATCAATTTTTATACAGGGTATTCCATGAGGAAATAGACATAGTGAAATGGCAAGTAGTATGGACCGAAACCTTTTTGGGAAATAAAAAGGTTCTAAATTCTAAGCGGGTCAAACCTTTAATACTGTTACGAAAACACCGTTCTTACTGTTCCAAGTCTAATTTAATACTGATACACTCATATATGATACGAGGGCGGTTCAATAAGTACCTGTGTTAGAAATGAAGAAACAATTTTTTCCAAAAAAATTCTTTTTATTTTTCAACATAATCCCCTTTCAGAAAGATACACTTTTCCCAACGTTCCTGCCTTTTTTCAACCCCCCAAAAAATAGGATTTGTCGAACTCTCCAAAATACGCCTCTGTTTCGGCAATGACTTGCTCGTTTGAGCTAAATTTTTTCCTCGCGAACCATTATCACTATGTACTAAATGTCAGTGAAATATCTGAAGCGGTTCTGAAAATATTAATTAATTTCCATATTTTCCTAAAACTTCAACACTCCGATTTTTTGTAAGGAAACATTTTTGGACCATAGTTTATAAAGAAAACTAACATTAATTTTTCATGTAGATTCACACCGTTAAATATTCCCAAATCATTAAGGTACACTCTGTATATCAACGGAATTAAATGGATTATACATCAGCCCATAGTCCAACAATGCAATACCGACTGACTACGAATGCTTTCTAAGTTATAGGCGGTTCAAAGATGAGACAGACAGACAGAACGACTGAAATGAGTGACGGTTTTTCATGATGTATATGTTATTCAGCGTGTTCGAAACATAGACGGAGATATTTTAGAGCAGGGCTGTCCAACTTAATGTGGCCCAAGGGCCACTTAAAAAAAATGCAGTTTGGAGAGCCGCATTATAAAATCTTTCTATACAACATTACTACTGAGTTTTAATAGGTATATGCATATTCGGTATTTGAGAGGATAATCCCTTGTTAAAAAGTATGAAATAAGTTTCTATAAACAAGGGGCCGGAGATACAGACTTTTCAAGACACAGGGTGATAAATTGATTTTTTTTATCAATTTTTTGTAGTGTACTTTATGTCATGGCACCTATTGGAAAAGTTGCAATAACACTCGTTCCTAGAATTTTTTATTAACGACTACCCATGCCCTTTAACACTACTGCCTTCTGTTCCCGCGCCAACTACGAATTCAGAATCAGTTTCTCCGATATTTCATGGAGGAGGGCTAAGAGATAATGCCGGTTCGGCTGCGACGTTTCCCTAGTTAACGGCATTCCCGCCCTTTCTGCGGATATAGGAAATAAGAGCGATACATATGCCTGCTGCCGCTGCGCCAGGAAATTATAGAAATTCCTACTTTATCGACCGTAACTCGAATAACAATGCGCTGGCAAATTTATGGACAATGCGCCGCAGCGTAAGTCATTAAGTTGCCTATATTAGTGGTTTCTCGAACTGGGCTGAGCAAAGAGCAGGCCCAAACTCCAGAATATGTTGTCTATCGCTTGGATCCGCCTAGAATACAAATAGTAGAGTGCTCCTAGGCTTAAACCTCGGAACCCGGGTCCACCGTATGAAATTTTGAGATATTTAGAAGGATGCCTTAGAAACAATGAATATTAAAAAATATATCTAATAATTTTTTGCCATTTCGATATTCAATTGTTTTTACTGTTTTTTTAAATTTCATTTTATGTGTATACGATTTTTCAGGTTTACCAGCTAGTATGTCTAATTAAACTAAACAAGGAGTTAATGGCAACCTATGTATTTTAGGACTTTCTTATTGAGATACAGATTCATTCCTTCTGATATTGATATTTTTAATTTCTCTTAAATTTGTTGTCAGGTGAATTTCTGCGTACTTAAGACTAGGTAGAGGAGCCAGTTAAGGATTTGTTTGTCGTCTAGTTCTCATAATCTGTAGTGAAGATCAAAGTTCATACTACAAGTGCACTTGATATAATTCAATTTCTTCTTTTTTGTCATTTTTATTGTTATTTTAGAGTATTTTTCAAAAGTGAGGGTGTATGAAATAATTGCGATGTTAGATGATTTCAAGATGTAGTACTTCTTACATAATTTGAAAAAGCGAGTGTAATGAAGGTAAATGTTTCCACCGGCAAGTATTATTATCATGTTGATACAATGCTGTCACCTTGATAGTCAAATTAGTCAAAAGCACGCAGTCAACTACGCAATTTTGAAGGCAAACACTGTAATGTGAGCAACTAAAAAAAGACAAGCAGTATTGTGGAAACTTGAGATGAAAAACAAAGGAGAATCGTGGGCATGTATGCAATAAAGGAGCAGGAGCAGAACTAGAAGGATTGGTAACCCGAGCGACGTACGTTTCTGCTCATTGGCTTCATCAGTACAACAACTCTGAGTATCCAGAAACTAATCATGTTTTGGTCCCATTAGAACTTTTGTACAGGAAATCTTTACGGAGGTTCTAGATGATGTCGACGAATACTTCTCGAACGCTCCGGATGTTGACCGATCCTTCTCGATGATGCCCCAACCTATACCGCTCTTGATGCACGGTGGCGTAACTCTGGCTGCCTTAGCGTCGATATTGCGAAGGATCGTTACACAAGGTCACATTTACGAGTGCCTTAGAGTACCATACTCAACTTTTTAATAAATCGACGAATAAATGAAGCATACACCGAAAATAGTCCTCTTTTGCGCTATCATCGGCATGAAAAAGTTCATCACATAATGTGGCAGATATTTACAATTTTGTCCTGTAAATTTTGATGAAACCCAGGCACGAGCGCAGTGAAAATCAGTTAATGGAATTAAAGCAAAAAGCAAATATTTACTATGCACCAACCTACCAAAATATAATGTCTATGTCAAAACAGGCGGAGTGCGCCGATACGTCAATCAACTAAATGCATCATCCGACCGTTCATTGTTACAGTGTTAATGAAGTTATTTCTACACAGAATATCGAACAGTGCACCCGTTACACTTGTAGGCGTAGAAAATGATTTAGCCGCGGTTGTGGACAAAAAAAGACAGGATTTTTATGTAAAATAGGTCATGAAAACTGCTGAATTTTTTTCCTGGAGAGTACCTAAGGGGGCACGAGACTTTGTAAGAATATCACGGTCCTTGGTCGAACTTTGAGCATGTTTGGAGACACAGACAAGTTTTTAATTTTTTGCTACTACAGTCCCCATAGGCCCCATAATACAGGGTGTACACGTTATGATAGTCATTATTTAAATGGAGTTTGTTATTTTTGGCTCTTAGGTATTATTTCATTATTTGATAAAATGTATTCATAAAATGCAAACAATTGAAAAAAAACGGACTTACCACTAACTGTCTCTGCGCTTCAACTGGTGTGTGAAAGTTTATTGAACGTATTAAAAAAATCCACTTATAAATAGGGAACACAATTTTGATACATACATCGTTTTTCTTTTTAAAACCCACAGTGCACTTTCTTTGTATTTAAAGAAGGTGTTCAAACTGTCGTCCTCCACTTTCCACACAAGCTTCATTACGACGAACCCAGTTTCTTCTTACTCTAGGTCCTCGAAGTTGTCGATTTATTATTTCAGCCGCATTAATTATTTTTCGCGAAGTTGTGCTTTAGTTGTTATTGGACCATCCCCATAAACCATCCCTTTAAGTACTCCCCAATACCAGAAATCCGTCGGATTGAGGTCAGGAAATCTTGCTGGCCATTTTCGAGGATCAGGAGCATTTCGACCGATCCAGCGATTTGGATAATGTTCATTCAAATACTGAATGGCGCCTCTAAAAATGTGTGGTGGTGCCCCGTCATGAAGAAACCACAAATTCTGTCTACGTTGTAGTGGCATGTTGTCTAATATCTGTTCCAAAAGTTCTGGTAGGTTATTGGCTAGAAAGCTAAGGTATCCTTCTCCTGACAACTTTCGGGGTAACTCGAAAGGGCCAATTATGATCGTCAAGAATACCCGCCCAAATATTTATTTCAAAGCGTTGTTGGAAATGACCTTCACGAATGGTATGAGCATTTTCTTTGGCCCACGGGTGAGTATAATTGAAATTTATTATCCCGTCTCGCGTAAAAGTACATTCGTCCGTCGCTAAAATGTTTTTAAAAAAATCCGGATTTTCGATATTTTTCTGCCAAAACCGCTGACAAAATGTTACTCTGCGATGATAATATTCTGGTAACAAGGCCTGCACTCTTTGTACATGGTAGGGATAAAGCAAATTTTCCCGTAGGATTCTATGGACTATGGTATGCGATAGTCCTACGCGGCGGCCTAATTCCCAAGTGCTGATATCTGCATTGATTTCTAAGATATTTAAAATTTGTTCTTCCAGTAACCTGTCTTTCACGAGTGCGAATATTAGTAGACTGAACACTTCCTGTATCTCGAAGTCTTTGGTACACTTGCACAAATGTAATTCTGTCTGGGTGTACCCATTGGCGAAATCTGACGCGATAAATTTGAGCTGCAAGATTTGAATTCTGACGAGCTTCACCGTAAACTAACAACATGTCGGCGAACTCTTGATTCGAGAACATTGAAAATAAACACGACGACGTACGCGAACAAAAACAAAACAACACGCCCGATACCCGATAACTGCGATTGATTGCCGGTTCGATAAGAGTGATGAAAGGATCCAATTTTCCATGTCTCATATCGAACTCATTTTTTTTAAAGAGAAACTAAGGAGGCATGAGACTTTAAATTTCAAATTCCTGTATCGAACGGTGGCTCAACTTGTGCGTTCAAAGTTGCAAGGCGAATTTTAACATTTTTAATAAATTTTTCATCTTCTCGCTACACCTGTCATGTGGAAAGAATTGGGCCTCGCAACATGTGACTATTCCGGAGTGAAATTGTCCGGAAAACTCAAAAATAGCTTCCTAATTTAAATCTGATAATTCTTTTTACACAAAAGTGTCTATTCGTTGTGCATGTACCTCAAATATATCAAAACAGCAGGAACATTTGTAGAAGCCAAAAATGTTGGTAGATGTTAGATCATCAACTAATTTCTTTAAGGCATTAGTACAGCAATAAATACTCGAAGTTTACATCTACCCTCAAAATAAGTTTGAAAATATGATTTATTCGAAATTCAAGGCAACTCACATTTTAGTGGTAAAGGAATGAGCATGTCTGCAAAATGTAGTAAAACAGAAATTCTATTTAGCTGAAATCATTTCATCATACCTTAAGCTGATGTTATGTTTCTAAGGCCTTAACCCTGTATCTGCCTTTGCGCGACACCTTATTGAAAAATCTAATATTGACATAGGTTATCAGTTATGACTTATAGATAGCATAAGATATTCTAAAAGTTGAAAAATAACCTGGGAAAATGACTTTAGAATTAGTTGCTTGCAAGCAACATTGCGAGATAAAGTATAGGTTCTATTGTTACTCGCAAGCAACATTGACCGATAAAGGTAAACCTAATTGCACTGGTTTATATGGAAATACAACTATACATTTCAAATCGTTTATTTATAAAACAAATAGCAAGAAATAAACCAAATATATATATTTCTATTTTCACAAAATACAATGTGATAAAACAGCTAAATCTAATTGTAATGGAAAAGGTAGAAACATTCTTATTTGGGGTGAAACAAAGCCTAAGATTGCACTTGGTACAAAAAATTGTTGTAAATCCATTGGCAGTGCCTGCATCTACCTTTTGTACCATAAGTTGGCCAATGACCTATGCCATCATTTTGGGTGGTGATATCAGGTCTCGGCAGTATAGGGTTTGATATTATTTTCGCACGGGTTTTATTAGTCGAGGAAATGGATGGTCTGCCACGAGAACTTTGTTTTCCTGCGTTGGCTAACGATTTGGCTAATTCCATACGGAACTCCTTTAGCGATTTTGACGTTACACGTGCTGTGTTGCAGTCCTTTCTATACAGAAGCCAGGCGTTGATCACTGACATATCAAGAACCCATGTGAAAATTGGGAAGTACCATCTTTTCGATCTGCTTGGACTGCGATACAGACCAAGTAATGAATTGGCCTAATCGATACCGCCCATGTGCTTATTGTATTGCATTATAACGGATAGACAAGGGATGGCAATTTTTTTCTTTTCCACTTTCGAATATCTTTTTATCGATTTTACGGGATTTAGGCCACAGAATGTGATGAATTATACCTTTGTCTGTATCTGCTTTATAAACGTAGGAACCTCTTCCCCTTTTTTGAAGCACTTTATCGGTTCCAAGTTGACATCCAGCTATTCTGTTAGACCTTATAGTTTCTAAACTAAGTATCCCAAATCGGTCTTTCAGATAAATAAATAATTTTACACTTGAAAACCAATTGTCACAGAATATAAGTGTTTTTCGGTTCGCTTAGGGTTTTGCACAGAGAAATGACGGCGCTGGCACCTACACCTAGATTTATTTCATAATCATCTAACTCATTCGGAGATTCTCTAAGCACTTCAAATGTCGCACCTCCCTGATAGGGTATGAAGTCGGCAATATAACCAGAAACCCCAGCACGAATAAAAAATTTAAACCCCGATTTGTGGGGTTTATTTTGGATATACTGCCTCAAGGTGCCCGCATATGTGCCTTTGTAAGACACCATTGTTTCATCAATTGAGTATTGATTTTCAAACTGGGGTTTATAACAGTTTTTGCGTACAATTTCTAATAAGGGTCTAATTTTGAAATATCGATCCTTTGTCTGGTCTGTTATGTTAGAATTATCATTGAAATGGATAAACCGTCTTAGTTTCTGAAACCTCTTCAGGGGCATTATATTGGCCACGTGATCTACTCTTTTACTAGCTGCCCAAAAATCTTCTATGGCAGGAAGCTTTATTACACCCATAATCAAGAATATAGATAGAAAATCCGTTATTTCTGACGGATTTGTATCAATACATTGCCCAAGTTGCTGAGTAGTACAAAGATTTGTCTGATAGACTATTTTATCGATTAGATCAAATGAAAAAAACTTTGTAAAATACTCAATGGGAACTGCAATGTTGTCAGGTTCAGGAAAGTCCGGTAAAGGTAGCAGAAACTATGTCAGCTTCAATCCAAGAATATTATTCAGTTTTTCGTCTTTGTGGTGGTGGCGGCTCAGTTTCATCGTCACTTTCTTCGAATTCATAATTACTTTCTGGAACCAGCATGTCAAGTCCTGAAGGCAGTTCTTCTTCATCGTTAAGCTCATTTGTTTGGGAAATATTTTCTCCGTCACCGAAATCGTCGTCTGAGACATCGGGAATATGCGGATCTATGGGAATTACGGTCGGTGCCTTCTTTTTGCCGAAAAAACATGTAGTGCTTATGGTTGGAAAATTATCCAGATCGGAAGACTGAAAACTAAAAAGTAATTATTCTGGCAATGTTGCTTGAGAGATACATACTAAACAAAGTCATTTTCCTGCCTTATTTTCTGATGTATCGCTTAAAAATAATCATAAACATAAATACTCAACCTTCTTTTATACCAACCAAGGCTAATAGTACATAAAAGCAAATGATTACTTACCATTTGCAACTAAAATCCCAACTACAGATTCATACGTGCACCAAACACCTGTTACGCGGCAACCATATTGAAAATTTTGACTCCACTTTTTATAAACAGAGGTCGCTCATAATATTATTTCCGTTAATGAATAATGTAGCTTACGCGCAACACTGCCCAATCAGACGGTTAGAGCTGGGAGGACGAGAAATTTTGAGGTTACCTACAGGCTACAGCACCAGATGCAGGGTTAAAAGTCAAATTTTGATACAACCAACGTATCCGGTAGCAAGTGTAGGACCATAAGAATAATAGGAAAGCGTCAAATTTAGATGGTGTTTCAATATAACTCAGTATATCTAGCGGTTGGTTAAAATGAATTATTGCGGTGAACCGTAATACAAAATACTATATTTATGATAATTTTGTCTAGCAGATGGAACAAACGGGTTTTAAATGTAACATCATGAAATGTACACAGTGTGTCTGCTGTGCCGCTGGTTATTACATTTTCTCTATAAATATAACCTATCACAGGGCAGTTTACGATTTAAAACACTGAATCGGGACAATTGAAACTTCCAATTGCAATATAACATAGCTTGTACAGGATCGAAGGCGGACGTTTGACGATCTATCACCAAAATCTTTACTACCTATTTTCCTCAGTTTGTCTGCTAAACTCGGTAAAAGCTCGAGATGTCACTGAAAAAACGTCAAAGCTTTTTTGAGTTCCTAATTTTGTTAGTAGCTGGAAAAAATTGGATTTAATTGAATTTTGAATAATCCCACTTCTCACGCCAAAGACGAGAAAGTATTGTAATCACAAAAAATTGAAAATAAACCTATCTTTTTTGGATGTTATAGAAAAGTATTCTCCTCCAGCATCAATGCACTCCTGTAGCCTGACGTTCCACAAACGAAATGGTTCTTACGAGTCAATTTTTGGAATGCCTTCAACAAACTGACTAATTTCAAATTGTTGAAAAGCCAACAGTCACACATTGTCAAATCTGGTGAGTAAGGCGGATGTTCCAGCATTTTGATATGGCGCTGGCGTAAAAAGTCTACAGTTAGGGCCTTCGCACACGCATCGTAAGCGTAGTCGTATCGTAAGCGTATCGTTACGACGCCACGTTAAAGAGATCTGCAGTGTTCCACACACGCATCGTCACGTACTCGTACCGTTTTGTAAGATCTCAGTTGAAATCATGGCGTCAGCGGTACCAGATGTTTCTGGTGTATCCATTGATGATCTTACATTTTCTTCAGACGAAGAGGATTTATTATTCTTTGATTACGTTGGAAGTAGAAAGCGACGTGCTCATTGGATCCATCCATACATCGCAAGTAATAAGAAGAAAATATTGTTTATTGCTGCACGTGGACTTTCAGAAGATGATAATAAATTCCGAAGCTTTTATCAAATGAGGAAGGAGACATTTCAGCCATATCGAGAGCAATTAAACAAACCTTTTGAATTTTACGCTTGTTTCTACGCCTGCCACACATACGAGCTCGTCCTACGCGCGTATTACGATACGATTACGATACGACGAAGTCTGCGTAGGCTCTTAGTTGGGCAGCGTGGCTAGAGGGCATTGTCGTGATGCAGGATTGCACGCAATACCTTTTTTTTTAAATTGTTGCGGATCCTACCCCAAGAGTTGCCTCTATAGTGGCATATGTGCAGCGGGAATCTTCATCAATTAGCCGCTGAACTTTAGCAATTTTTCCTGGAGTCACACTAGAACATGGACGTTCCTCATCAGCCAATGAAACACGCCTTCTTTTAAATTCGATATACCAGCAAAGCACACTTGCCCTGGATGGCGCTTCATTACCAAATGCCTGTTGTAACCGTTTGAACATTGATGTTCAGTTAAATCGACTTTAAAGTCATAATAAATCATAGCGCGATAACTCTTTATATTACATCTTTTTTGACGTTATTATATTTATATGCTTCCAGCCCCGGTAATTCAAAGCATATATTAAGCATATTCAATACATAGTTTTCCCGGTATATTTGCCCTTCAAACTTAGAAAGATATACTAAGTGACATATAAATCCGAACACCCAGTTTAAATGGTTTTATTTTAATAAAAGTTGGTGAATGTATTTATCTTACTGTAAATAACAAGTGAAAAAATTTTCAGCCTTATCAGTTGGACATTCCGGTTTTTATACTGCTTTTTTTTAATTCACTAACGCTCTAAAAATGAATATTTCAGCCGCAGTAAAGAATCAACGTTGGCGGATTTTGGTTCTTGACATCCTTTACGATCGGTTACGATGCCTAGAATACGGAGACCTGTACGATTTCGTCAACTTAGTGAGTTTGATAGGGGCCGTATAGTGGGACTTCGGGAAGCTGGACTTTCTTTTCGGGCAATTGCAGTTAGAGTGCAAAGAAGTGTAGACACTGTGGTTAGGTGTTGTCAGGCATGGCTTCGAGAAGGCCGTACGCAAAGAGCAAGGGGCACTGGACGCCGCCGTAGAACAACAGACATGAAGATCGCCGCCTAAGATTATTGGCCTTAAGGAAACGTTTCTCCACTACCAGGTCCATTGCAAATGAATGGTTTGCAGAACACGGAATACCTATTGGCATGCGGAGTGTTTCCGACGAATGAGAAGTTTTGGCTTGTTTTCATACCGGCCACACTGGGTCCTCCCTTTAACTCGAGAACACCGACGTAATCGCCTTGAGTGGTGCAGACAACGGCCACTCTGGGATCAGGAATGGAACAGTATTGTCTTTAGTGACGAGTCTTGATTTTGTTTAGGCATGCACGATGGTCGTGCCAGGGTTAGAAGGCGACGTGGTGAAAGGAGGAATCCACAGTTTTTTGTTGAAAGACATGTTCATCACACCGTTGGAGTTATGGTTTGGGGTGCTATAGCTTATGGTTCCGGGTCACCTTTAATCTTCATCAGAGGTAACATGAACGCGCAGCGTTATATCCACGAAGTTCTAGAACCACATCTTTTACCCTATCTTGACACCCTGGCAGATCCAACTTTCCAACAAGATAATGCCCGACCACATGTTGCAAAAGTCACAATAGACTTCTTTCAACATAATGATGTCACATTGTTACCATGGCCACCAAGATCTCCCGATTTATCCCCAATTGAGCACATGTGGGATATGATGGGTAGGAGATTGCTCAATTTGCAACGTCCTCCTCAGACTCTAGAAGCACTTCGAGAGGAGTTGGTGGTTGCCTGGAATGAGATACCACAGGAGGACATTGACCACCTGATCAGAAGCATGCCTAGGCGCGTTGGAGAATGCGTAGCACATCAGGGTGCATCCACACATTATTAAAGGTCAAAGGGCTTTAAAGCAGTGCAATCATTTTGAAATTTTTATCATTTACTTATTATGCTTCATTAAGCACTTATACAAAATTTTATTAAAATAAAACCATTTAAACTGGGTGTTCGGATTTATATGTCACTTAGTATATGTAGATACATATTTTCAACACACGCGTTTCTAGATATATCTGAGTTGCGGTCCGACTGATATGTGGCTGCCATGGCAAGTCAAAGTCGACCTACTTAACATCATTTATTTATTGGTGAAATGTATACCGCTTTCGGCAGAGATAAAAACAGGAACAACATATCAAAAATCTACACATCTATAAAAAAACTACATGAGTGTCCTTTGTTCCTGAACACTCACATAACATTAATGTTCTTATATTACTTTTTAAGATGTAAGCAGCCCGCTATAACGCCCCGCCACTTCCGAATAGCCGACATACATTTCATGATTGTATTGTAACTCACCTTTGGTTAATGGTAATATTATGTAAGAATTAGAACGTAGAGAGATATAAGATTTTATTGCTACAATAAACGTAGTATTACCAACATAAATCATTCCCACCCTTTCCGTATTCACAACCAATTGAATATTTCAACGAAATACTCGTATATGACACGTTAACACAAAGTCATTCTCGTGCTGCTATTGGACGGTAGACAGGGTACTTAGTAATAGTCCAAAGAAGCGCAAGAACTTCTTTTAATTAATTTAAATGCAAGTTGACATCAGCTCAAAATTTTGTTGACTTTTGTGTTTGCTTGCGATATTAAAAGGCATAATAACGAAAAATCTAAAACGCGGGTTGTCGCGCTTTTCTTTTTAACCAAATTAATGTTTTTGGAAGTATTATTTGGAATCATAATAACGAAAAATTAAAATCACATATTGAGACACTGAGTATGTCTGTAAAGTTCCGGAACCCCACGATAATTTGTGAACTAACAATGGTAGGAGAAAATGATCTTGAATTTCACTTTGACCATGGCCTTCAAGGACATTTGAAGGTCAATTCGATTTTTTCAATGTGGAACGCCCCATTTTTGGCACCGTAAATGAAAAGAGCGGAAGCTTTTACGTTAGAATATCGTCTTATTTATTCTTGAATTTTGACCTTAAGAGGTCATGGTTAAGGTCAAACCCAGGTACGGAGATATAACTTGAAAGCCAGTAGTCGTATAGGAAAACTACAGATAAATTATTTTCATGATTTTTTCCGGATATTCAGTAGTGATCTTGGACTTGACCTTCGTCATGACTTTCAAGTCATTTGAACGTCAACTTTTCTTTAATAGAACGTCATGCTTTTGGCCGCGGAAATAGAGAAAAAGAAGAATTTAATGTTCGAATATGTCTTTGACCATTTTTGGTTCTTCACATTGGACTTGACCATCAAGGTCAAATACAAGTTTACCTTTAATTCATAAAACTGTGTAATTCTCAGATAAACTGACTTCACTGTTCTTTCAGCCTGCCTACAAAAATCGACTTGAGCTTCACATGACATTGAA